CCGGTTTCCCTGCACGCAACAATCCTGTTCCAGCCCCTTTGTCCTATGCACACCCGATGGGCATGCTCGTCCCCTACCACCCCCTTCCTTCACAACCCCTTCCCCAAGTTAACAATATTCCTAACCCACACTTGACATTGCCACCCCCTCCTTCGTGGCCAGCGCCCTTACAGTCGCAGCCACAACGGCTCCCCCCTGTCGGCAATACTTTGAATCTCCCTGGTCCGGCAGCCTTTCTTCAATCGCCGCCGCTCATCTCAATTGTGCATCAGCCCCCCCCACCTCCTCTCCAGCTCGGACACCCTATCCATAATTCACCTGGCCCACATGCCCCCCCCCCCCCCCCCCCACCTCAGTCACGACCAGCTTATGTTTCTGTTTCTCACAACAATACCAGCCACTCAGCACCTCTACCAACAATCATCCCTATACAGCCCCCACCCTCTCTACAAGCTTTCAGCATATATTCAAACCCGGCCCTCGCATCTTTCCCTGCCCCGACAACAGAGACGCAGGCACATCAACAATCTGACATGCATGCAGAGGTTCGCGGATTGGAGGAAGGCACTTACCCGGCAACTGGACGCGCCTTCTTCACTCGGACCACGACAGACGCCACCATGCGGGACCCGAGGCTGGTTTTGCGAACTCCAATAAAGCAGAGAAGGATGAACGTGGATGGCGATGGGCAGATTACRCAGGAGGAAGAGGAAAGGGAAATCGATTTCTTCACGATATCCAGCTCAGCCACGAGCCTACAATCGCGAGGCCCAATCACTCAGGGTCCGCTGCCTGCAGCCGGTCAGAGGCCCACGTTAGCAGCCCAGCCTTCAAGCAGCAGAGCCTCTTCAGTCTCAGTCAGGCACCAGCTGGTGCTCCTTTGTTTTATGCTGTCCCCGCAGGGCTCCAAGTTTATGGCGAGGCGAACAGACAAGGGCCTCCTGGCCATACCGACGGTGGCTGTCTCTGCACCACCAACATCCAAGGAGGCGATCAAAGCCATAGCCTCGACTTTCATAGCGGACAGATTTCCCTTTCGACTTGTCTCGGGGATTCGTATCGGACGCAAGACTACTGCAGCAGCGGCAGGGGGAAGTTGGCACTTCTCCATTGCGGTGTTGGATGTCAAGGTGGTCCTGGATACTGCGGCCTTATTGGCCACGCAGGGAATCGTGTGGCTCCCCTCCTCTTGGCTTGCATCCACAGCGACTGAGGAGCTCCAAGAGACCTTTCTCACTGAAGACGTTAATGCAAAGCTCGTAGCCGAGTTCTGCACTTCGCTGGCAACGGACAAACAACCGAATTCTGCAGGTTTCCGGAACTTGTTACTTGCTCCATGGGCGGCACCGGATGATGCGGAAGGTGCCAGAAGACAACGACCAACCAGGCAGCCTGCAGACGAAGAATAGCAGATCCAAACATCAGCCGCTCAAGTCCCGGTCCATGACGGGGTTTAAAATTGCTACATGGAATGTCAGGGGGCTTGGGGACTCCACGGGCGCCACAAAAAACCCCGAATCAAGACATGGATGCACGAGCAGCAAATTCAAGTGCTCTTCCTTCAAGAGACCAAGCTAGATGAAAGTAAGCTGCAGCAGAACTGTTCCTGGTGGAGAGGCCCGCAAGTTTGGGCTCCAGCAACGGGAACCAGAGGGGGCTGTGCAAATCTGATTCACAGAAACCTGGAAGCGGAAATAGTCGATCAAGACCTGGACATATGGGGCCACTGGGCCTGGGTACAGCTGCGTTGTGGCACAGAAACATGGACACTTATGACGGTATATGCCCCCTCGGAGCCGGCGGAGCGAAGGTCTTTTCTTGAGGAGCTCCCGGCGATTGTTTCTGAAGCTGAAAACTTGGTGCTTGCTGGTGACTTTAACGTCACACTCGCACCAGGCTTGGAATCACCAGACACGACACCGAGAAGGGCCGACGCAGTTATGCTTGCCAATTTTATGACGGAGCGGGGACAGACGGACACCTTTTGAACTACGCATCCGACTGATCCGGGCTTCACTTGGTTCTCTTCGCAGAGAACTGGTGACAGGCTACCTCCAAAAAGAAGACTTGATCTCATACTWGCCAAAGGTGCACCTTGGGAGGCCTTGACTTCAGTTGATTGTGCCATTGAATCGCTGTCAGACCACCGTCCGCTTGCCGCCAGCTTCGAGTTAGSAACAGATCTCATCAGGGGCCCAGGAACTTTTCGCCTAAACACRGATCTGCTGAATATGCCGGGTGTAACGGACTGGATAGCAGCGCATTGGAGAGACTGGCAGCGAACCAAACAAGACTTCAACACGGAAGGTGAGTGGCTGCAGATGGGGCTCCGGATTGTCACAAGGGCGCTTGATGCTTTTTCTAGAATGTAGGCCAGACAGAGGAGACAGCAAGAAGATGAATGCAGGGAAATGATCACTGAAGCGGAGATGGAGCTGGAGAACAGGCGACTGGCGAAACTGTATTGGCAACACCGCAGAGATCGTTGGCTGCAAAAATTAGAAGACCTTCAAGTTGAACAGCAGACACTGTGGGCCAAAAGGGCCCAGGAGAGAGGGATGATAGTGGGCGACAGACTATCAAAGGATAATTTTCTACGGCTTTGCCCACCGCGATCACATGTGCTGATAAGGGAACTGCAACATCCTTTTCACAGCGAGGCTGAGCCTGCTAAGGATTCAGCAGCAACAAGAGAGTATGCCCTGGCCTATTTCAGTGACATACTTACATCGCGCCGTCAGCCAGACCTCACCCTGCAGCAGCTAAGGGCAGAGAATGATTTGTGGCAGCACTCTCAAGTGAGCTTGACTCCGCATGCCAGCCTGCACCTGGATCGGCCTATAACACTTGAAGACTGTGGGAAGCAGTGAAGGAGATGGCGCACGGCAAGAGCCCTGGATCAGACGGGCTCCCTGTGGAATTCTACGAAGCAGTCTGGGACCACATAGGTCCGGACCTTCTTGCACTCTACAACCGTATTCTAGAGGGAGATACCTTGATGCCAGACATGAAGCTGGGAATCATTACTCTCATATATAAGAAGGGTGACAAAGCTAATATTCGCAATTGGCGACCCATCTCAAGGCTGAACGTCTCCTATAAGATACTGGCGAAGCTCCTGGCAAGAAGGCTGGCACCGTATCTTCCAACTCTCGTCCACACGGACCAGGGCGACTTTGTGCAAGGACGCTCAATTGCTGAGAACATACTCATGGCGGTGGGAGCTTTGGAAGTCATTCAGAAGGAAAGGCRGCAAGTGCTAGCAGCAATGCTGGACCTCGAGAAGGCATACGATCGCGTTAACTGGGCCTTTGTGTTAGCTACTTTAGAACACATGGGTTTTGGTCCCAACTTCCGCACCTGGGTGAAAGGAGCTCTATGCCGACTCGACAGCCACTGTTAATGTTAATGGCTTCCTCTCTCCTACATTCTCACTGACTCGTTCTCTTAGACAGGGATTCCCCCTGGCGTCGCTGTTGTTCGCAGTTCAAATGGAGGTGCTCCTGAACTCCTTTAGAGCCTCTTCGCACATATCTGGGTTAAGGCTGAGTGCAAATGACATTCTTTTAACGGGTGCCATTGCTGACGATCTTCTTCTGGTTATGGAGGCGACTCCCGAATCCATGCAGGCGGCCAAGACGCTACTAGACTCCTATGCTACCCTGTCTGAGGCCCAAGTCAATTGAGAGAAGTCTGTCTACTTCCTCCCAACTGAGTATGACCTGACAGGGCAAGATTGGGGAATGAAGCAAGTCCCCCCGGACCTCTCGGAGCGCTACCTAGGGGTGCAGTTCTCATTGGTGGATGCCAGTCCAAGACAACACGCCATCCTGCAGGCGAAAACCGAAGCAGCCTTACAACACTGCAGAGTAGCAGTCGGCATGTCTCTACTAGGACGTGCACTCCTTATCAATTCGGTGGTCTTCGCTCAACTTTGGTTCGTCGCTGCAGTATGTCTGATTTCCAAGCCAACTGTCAAATGCTTAACAAGAGACGCTGCTCATTACTTGTGGAAGCCAACAGCACAACAAGGACAAGGGTACATATCTAAATGTGCCTGGGCAAAGGTTACCACATGTAAGACCGAAGGAGGCTTGGGGCTTATTGATCSAGCATCTCAAAACCTTGCACTCCTGGCCAAATGGTTGTTCAGAGCTGCAACTCAGGCGGAGCGCCGAAGCTGGCTTATGGTATTGGAATACTTGTTGCAGCAGGAGTTATCATTAGCACGTGGCGAGGATGTTTGGTGTTGTGTTTTCTTGTCCTCATATGCGCGTAGACAGCTGCATTCTCCACTGGCAAAGGGTTTATGGGCTGCTTGGGCTCAGCTATGCCCCACGAACAAAAGAGATCCAGCTACAAGGGAGGAAGTACTCAGACAACATCTCTTCGACAATGCTCTTATCTGCAATGGCCAGGGACTCCCCTTTGAAGCAACCGCTACCCCTGGCCATTTCGGTAGGAAATGGATGGAGCGAGGTGTCACCAGGATACAGGACCTGTGGGATGAGACCCACGAAGACTGGATCACAGACGACCAATTGAAGCAAAAGCTTGGGACACTCCAGCTCCTCTCACCCAGAAGTCAGCAAATTCGAGAAGCAATCCCATCTCATTGGATGGATCTCCTACGTTCTAAAGACCTGGTGGAGGGCGAGTGGTACGGGCCTCCACAGCAGACAGAGCCGAGGGCCTTTTTGCAGATAGAGGAGCAGTTGGACAGCAACACTTGGAGGGCACAGCTGTGGCAGGAAAAGGTAAACCCCGCTACACCAAACGGTCTACAGCTTATGGGCGAGGTGGCCATTGACTCCCAACATGCCTTGCGACAGATACGAGTTTTCACGAAAACACAAGAGGGAGTGACCACGCACCAGCTGCTACTGGAAGGCCTTCCCTTGATCTCGCTAAGAATAGATCCTCTGGCGTGGCATTGGGAGTTGCCTGGTGGGCAGGTCAARCCTCTTCTGTTGTATACTTMGGCTCTAGGAAGACAACTTCAGAACAAGGTTCATAGCCTCCCGTTGACAGCAGCAGGGTTGCTCAATAGGCTCAGTGATAATGCACGGCCAATTACAGCRCAGGATATGTCAACTCTCTGGGTGCAGCTGACAGCCTTACCGTCTCAAAAGYTAGCAGGTATCTTATGGCTGATATCGCATGCTTCTATCCCCACTGCTGCCTGGCTCTTTCGAAAGAGGAATGGAGATTGAAACAAAATGCAGACGCTGCGGCTGTWAGGAGGAGGAAACACTACAGCACTTGTTTTGRTCATGCCCCGCATCGAAAAGACTTTGGCTTTGGTGGGAAAGACATTGGCTCAGCTTCGTMGGTCCGCTGCTGTCTTGGGATGAAACCTGGGCACTGCATGGTCGTATCCCACCCACTTGGTTTAAATGTAAGGGTAGAGGCTATGTTGCTCAAGCGATCCGATCAATCATCATCTGGGTCATTTGGGAAGACCGAAACAACATCCTCTTCCAGCAGCAATGGACCAGTGACGCGACGCTTATAGCCAAAATCAAGGCGTGGATCCGTACCATGATCAAGGTGGACTGGATCAGAAAGGCAGCCAGAGGCCGTACTCAAAGAGGCAGACATTGGTTTCTGGTTTCTTGGGCCAGAGACAACAAACTGGCGGCAGTTACCCTTTCAGGGAACTTAGTCATTACCCCATGGCTCTCAGCCTAGGACTTTCCCTGTTGTTCCCACTCCTTTCCCTCCCTTCCTCTCAGTTACCCTTTCAGGGAACTTAGTCATTACCCCATGGCTCTCAGCCTAGGACTTTCCCTGTTGTTCCCACTCCTTTCCCTCCCTTCCTCTCTCCCCAGTATGACGCTTATCTGGTCTTCCCCTCCTTCCCTTCTCTCCCATTCCCCCCTGTCCGATAACCTGGCTTGCAGAGGTTTTAAGCAGTAGAACCAGGCGCACTCGGTTCCGGTCGGCAGCCGCAGTAGACTGCAGAGGGCTTGGTGGGGAGGAGAGTGTCAGGTTACAAAAAAGGAACAGTGCTTCCTCTCGGCCGTTTTGGGCCGGGTTCAGACCGATTTTAGGTCTGTGAATTTGCAGGCAGATTAGAGTAGCTTTTGGATG